TGCTTGTAGATGTATCTGAGGGGTGAGGGAGGGCACGTAGGGGTTAAAGGTGACGATAAGGGTTTTTGTGTGTGTTGGGGAGGGGGGGCGCATGTGTTTGTGTGTGTATTTGTGTGCGTGTGTGTGTGTGTGTGTGTGTGTTTGTGTGTGTGTGTGTGTGTGCGTGCGTGCGTGCCTGCGTGCGTGATCTGGGCGTGGAAGACCATCTATCACTATCATCTAGCGTCACAATGTGTGTGTATGCGTGAATGTAAGCGCGCACATGAGTGCGCGTATGACTGTGCGCGCATATAATGTGCGTCTACGTATACGTATGAATGTTAGTGATCATTCACCCGAGGAAGACCCGTCATGCCATGATCTCGTCGTGAGAGTGGATCACCCTCTGTCCATCTTGCGTCACAATATGTGCGTGTGCGAGTGCGTGTGCGTGACTGTGAGCGTGTGCATGCATGTCTGTGCACAAGTATGTGCGCGTGTGTATGTCTGTGCGTGAGCGTGTATTTGCGCCTGTGTGATCACTCACCTGAGGAAGGCGCGGCGTGCCATGATCTCGGCGTGGGAGTGGATCACCCTCTGTCAATAGTGCATCACCATGTGCGCGACTGACTGTGAGCGTGTGTATGTGTGCGTGTATGCCAGTGCACAAGTATGTGCGCGTGTGTATGTCTGTGCGTGAGCGTGTATTTGTGCCTCTGATCACTCACCTGAGGAAGGCGCGTCGTGCCATGATCTCGGCGTGGGAGTGGATCACCCTCTGTCCGTCTAGCGTCATGTGCTGGTACAGAATACAGCGGTTGCCTGTACAGAAATACAGACAGAACAAGATAATATTGTTAGCCTCGATCTAGTTGTAAGAGAATTGGGAAACATGGCAGACAGGATATTGCAACGTGTGAGTGGGCGGGGGCGGGGGGGGAGGGGGTGAGCTACTCTAAACACGATCACAACTATCTTGTTCTCGCTGTAGTTGATGAACTGTATCTGTCTGTCTGTCTGTCTGTCTGTCTGTCTCGTTGTCTCTCACACACATCATGATACCTGTGCCCATGCCGACGACCCTCATCTTGCCGTGGTACTCCAGCACAAAGGTGGCGGCTATCTTGTCCTTGCTGTAGTTGATGAACTGCGTCTCCTCGGCCGTGTCCAGCACGTGACGTGACACCAGCACCACGCGGTGCGCGTGAGAGCCCACCTCCTCTTGCGTCATCGTTCGGAGCTTCTTGTGCTGGGGAACACACAAGGGTTTAGGAAAGAGTTTTACGGCACTTGCAACACAAATAGGTCA